AGGCACACGGCCAACGGTCCCGAAAAATCGGAAACCGGACTCCGAAATGGGCAAAATGGCCTATGGCCACAAAATGTAGCCCACGGCCACTGAGAGATGGTCTACGAGACCTCTCCCTCCCCTCAGAAAAAGAAACAAAGAAAATCGAGTCTGGTTCGCAAACCGAGACAAGGCACAGAAGAGGGTTCGGAAGTCCGGAGGCAGGGCTCACGGCCACGACTCTGAAACTTCTGAACGAGCATAATATGCAGTATCACCGAGCGCTCAACTGGTGACGTCTGAGTCTTAAGGTCGGTCAAAAATGGGGTGTCTACAGTATCAGAGCACAAGTTTCTTATAGTACGTTACTCACACTTCGAGTCCTAAAGAGCATAGGACTTTCCGTAGGATTGATGTTAGGATTGCATCATTATGCTTGCTACTTGACAATGTGTGCATCATTTCGGCGTGACTATTTGCTATTGCATGCATATTGTTTGATCACCTTGTTTTAAAGTCACATTTTGCACACTCTTAGCATCATGAGAAGAGGTAGACCACCCGTTGGCCGAGATCATCCCGAGGACAGATTGGATAGATTGGAGAGATTGGTCGAAGGTTTGGTCCGTGAGTTAAGGCAAACTCGGCCACAAGACGCTAGCACTACTTCTACCCAGGCCGAGCAGACAAATGGCCGGCATGTAGTTCCACCTCCGCCTCCTCTAGTGCCGTAAGTGCTTCCACAACAAGCTTTATATGGGGACGGCACCATAGCCTTGATCAGAGAGTTCAAAAAGATGAAGCCGCCGAGGTTCTCTGGAGGTATTGAACCGATGAAGGCCGAAGCGTGGGTCTTGGAAATGGAGAAGCTATTCGAGATTTTTCCCAGCACCGACGCCCAGAAGGTGTCATTAGCAACATTCACCTTAGACGACGATGCACGAAGATGGTGGATGATGACCCGAGAAAGCAACCCAGGTCTGACTGGGGCCAGATTTTTGGAGCTGTTCTACAACAAGCATTTTCCCCTTAGTGTCCGAGATCGTAACACCACGGAATTTCAGACTCTGACACAAGGTAACAAGACAGTCGCAGAATACGACCGCGCTTTTACCGAGTTGGCGAGATATGCGCCTCACATGGTCGATGATGAATACAGAAAGGCTAGAAAGTTCGAAAGTGGACTGCGCGGACCAATTCAGGATCGAGTTAACATGCTCAACATGCCGACTTACGCCGGAGTGTTAGACAAGGCCATCCTTGTAGAAGCTAACCTGAACCGGTATCAGAATTCAGGAGAAAACCAGAGGAAGAGGCAGAACAATGATAGCCGCCGAGTTCCATTTAGCGCCAAGAAAAAGGCGAATGTGGGCAGCTCCAGCAACTCGAACCAGGAAAGTAGCGCTAAGCCGACGTGTGCAAGTTGTGGGAAGCCACATTTTGGAGTTTGCTGTTGGGCATCAGGAGCCTGTTTTGAATGTGGTGAAATGGGTCATCGCGTGAAAGACTGTCCGAAGACAAGAACTGATGATGGTAAGAAAGATGGGAGCACCTCAGGCTCTGCGCAAAGAAATAACATTGGGAGGGCCCAAATGAGACAGGGCAGAGTTTTTGCATTGGTACCAGGAGACACTACGAATGCTAAGACAGTGGTGTCAAGTATACTCTCAATTTGCTCTCAAGATGCATACATATTAATAGATTCGGGTTCTACGCATTCATTTGTATCTGCTAAGTTTGCCGAGAAGTTAAATAGAGAACAAGAACCCCTTACCTATGTGTTATATGTGTCTACTCCATCTGGGAGAACTATGATTGTTGCATCCATTTATAGGGCGTGTATTGTTGTGATTGAGGGTGTAGAATTATTAGTTGATTTGATGCCGTTAAGCATGACCCACTTTGATGTCATATTGGGGATGGACTGGTTAGTAGCGAATCACGCATCTATTAATTGTGTTTCAAAGAATGTCACATTGAAACCCCCAAACCAAGCCGAGGTTACTTTCCAGGGTAAAGGAGTAGTACCCCCACCTTACTTAATCTCATCTATGAAAGCCTATAAATTGATCCAAAAAGGGTGTCGAGGTTACCTGTGCAGTATACTAAGTAATCTGAATGGAAGCGTTGAGCTAGCCGACATCCCAGTTGTCAAGGAATTCCCCGACGTCTTTCCAAATGACTTGCCTGGCTGCTTTGTCGATAGAGAAATAGAATTTACGGTTGATATTACGCCGGGAACCCAACCTATCTCCAAAACACCCTACAGAATGGCCCCAGCCGAACTTAAAGAACTGAAGCTGCAATTACAAGAATTGTTGGGTAAGGGATTTATTAGACCGAGTACTTCTCCATGGGGAGCACCCGTTCTATTTGTTAAGAAAAAGGATGGCACACTTCGTCTTTGTATCGACTACCGAGAACTGAACAAGGTAACCATTAAGAACAAGTATCCGTTATCGAGAATCGATGATTTGCTTGACCAACTACAAGGGGCACGAGTCTTTTCTAAGATTGACCTCAGGTCGGGCTACCACCAGCTGAAGGTTAAGGCCGAGGATGTCGAGAAGACTGCTTTCCGGACAAGGTATGGCCACTACGAATTTTTGGTAATGCCTTTCGGAGTGACCAATGCTCCTGCAGCATTCATGGATTTAATGAATAGGGTCTTCAAGCCGTACCTAGACGAGTTCGTGGTTGTTTTCATTGACGACATCTTGGTCTATTCCAAGGATGAAGTTGAGCATGAAAAGCACTTGGGGCTAGCCTTACAAGTCCTAAGAGACAAGAAATTATATGCCAAGCTTAGCGAGTGTGAATTTTGGCTCTCCAGTATCTCGTTCTTAGGGCATGTGATTAACGAAGAAGGTATTTCAGCCGATCCAAGTAAGATTGAAGCTGTTGTGAATTGGCCGACGCCGACTAATGTATCCGAGATTCGTAGTTTTCTGGGTTTGGCCGGCTATTACAGGAAATTTGTGAAGGATTTTTCAAGGATTGCAGTACCGCTTACACAACTAACTCAAAAAAGAGTGGCGTATGAATGGACCGAGGATAGGGAGTCCGCTTTCCAAGAGTTAAAGACGAGGTTGGTTACAACGCCAATACTTGCTTTACCGTCAGATAAGGAAGAATTTTAGATTTATAGTGATGCTTCACATAAGGGATTGGGCTGTGTGTTAATGCAAAGAGGTAAGGTTATAGCATACGCATCTCGTCAGTTAAAACCCAATGAAAAGAATTATCCTACCCATGATTTGGAACTAGCAGCTGTGGTCTTTGCTTTAAAGATATGGCGTCATTACTTGTATGGAACTTCTTGCCAAGTTTTCACAGACCACAAAAGTCTGAAGTACTTGTTCACTCAAAAGGAATTGAATATGAGACAGAGAAGATGGCTTGAACTATTGCCCATTCAGTCCTAGCTGTCTGTCCTTGCTTGGCTTGCCTGCCTGGGAATTCCAGTTGAATAGAGTTCCCACTGGCTAGATGGTGAAATCTTTAGTTGGTTTCCGACAGCAACCCTTCTTTATCTATAGTCCCGTTCTTTGGTTGATTTACTTGATTGGCTAGTCTCACACAAGTCGATCAATAAATCTGTTGAAGATGTCACCATCAGTTGATCCGATCAACTAGTAATCGTAATAGAAGCAAATGAACTGAGATCTAACTCCTTTACTCTCAAGCTTGTGTTGTTCAATCAAGCTAAATGAACAGATTGGAAAAAGGAAGCCAGGGCTTCACTTTATTAGTCAACTCTTTCTCCTCCTATGATTCTTGTTCACTCGGAGTTTTGTCTTTCTGAAAGAGAAATGCCACCTATTCTTGCTAATGCCCTTAAAAAACCCTCTTTAGATTGATACCCTTTTTTCGTCATGAGCTGCCCGGAAGTGACGGAACTCTCTTCCCTTCGGCCCTTGAAAACAAACATGCAGATTCAGTACCATCCGGGTAAGGCAAACTCCGTAGCCGACGCGTTGAGTAGGAACTTATTTGGAAGTTTAGCGTGCCTGGCAATGATTTTAGTAGAGCCGACCATAATTGAGGAAGTGAAGACCAGACAGATGGAGGATAAGTTCCTCAAGAAGGTAATTGATGAATTCGTCACCAAGCCAAGGCCAGGGTACACCATTGAAAATTGAGTGCTTAAGTTTGAAGGGAGATTGTGCGTGGCCGACGTCCCAGAGTTGAAAAAGAAGATTTTACAGGAAGCCCATAGCTTCAAATTTTCCGTTCATCCGAGAAGCACCAAGATGTACCAGGATGTAAAGCGAACTTTCTGGAGGTCAAATATGAAAAGAGAAATAGCCGAGTTTGTATCCCAGTGTCTATGCTGTCAGCAAGTGAAAGCAGAACACCAGAGGCCAGCAGGACTTCTTCAACCCTTGTCAATCTCTGAGTGGAAATGGGAACATATCTCCATGGATTTTGTGATTGGTTTGCCGAGGACGCAAAAAGGTATGAACTTAATTTGGGTTATAGTTGACAGATTTACTAAGTCAGCACACTTTTTGCCTGTCAAGACTACATTCAATGCCGACTGACTTGCTGGACTGTATATGAATGAGATTGCGAAGCTTCATGGAGTGCCGATGTCCATAGTGTCAGACCGAGATTTGAAGTTTGTTTCTAGATTTTGGCAGAGTTTACAAAGGGCTTTGGGAACCGAGTTGAAGTTTAGCACAGCATTTCATCCCCAGACCGATGGACAAATAGAAAGAACGATTCAGACACTCGAAGATATGCTCAGACTATGTGTGCTAGATTTCAAGGGAAATTGGGAAGTACATCTACCGTTAGTAGAATTCGCTTACAACAACAGTTATCAAGCCAGCATTGGCATGGCACCGTACGAAGCTTTGTATGGAAGGAAGTGCAGATCGCCGATATGTTGGACTGAAGTGGGAGATAAAGCCTTGATTGGTCCCGAACTGGTTCGAGTTACAACCGAGAAGATTAAGCTCATTCAACAAAGGATTAAAACCGCACAGAGCCGACAGAAGAGTTATGCCGACCAGAGAATGAGGGAATTAGAATTTGAGACTGGGGATCATGTATTTTTGAAGATCTCGCCGACGACAGGGGTTTCAAGATTTGGGAAGAAGGGTAAATTAGCACCTCGATATATTAGGCCATTTGAAATTCTTGAGAAGGTCAACCCTGTTGCCTACAGGCTTGCCCTGCCGCCAGAATTAAGCCAAGTCCACAACGTGTTTCATGTTTCGATCTTGAGGAAATATATCCGAGATCCACTGCATATGATTGATTATTCTGAGATTGTGGTTAATGAAGATTTAAACTACGAAGAAAAGCGGATGAGAATTATTGACAGGCAAGAGCGGCAGTTGAGAAACAAATCGATACTAATGGTAAAGATTGAATGGGAGGGGCATTATGGCAAGGAGGCTACATGGGAAAAGGAAGAGGAAATAAAAATCCGTCATCCGGAGTTATTTGTAGAGAAAAATAACTAAAGTTTGGGGACCAAACTTCTCTAAGGAGGGTAGACTGTAGTGACCCTCATTCCTCACCTTAGCCTCGGGCATGAGCATTTGTATAATCTTGTTTTGCTAAGTTGCAGTAGTGAATTTTCTTGACTTGTCTTAACTAGAATGAGATTTTTGTCTTGGTTTGTACTTATGTGAAATTTACTTGTTGAGTCTTGTTCTTTTCTGGTGAGTCTAGCCGAGGTCACCTTAAAGCCAGAACTACCTTGAAACCACTTTGGTTGACCTCTACCTTCGTCCTAGCATATTGGCCGAGATGTCATTTTCTAGGCCGAGGTGTATCATCAAGGCCGAGAGGTGTATCATCTAGGTCGAGATGTTATCCTTGAACCCAAGTGATCTTGTTCCGGATTGGTGCGACCTAGACCGAGGTGTGGCACATCTAGGCCGAGGTGTGGCACAGCTAGGCCAAGTGTTGTCCGTCCTAGCCGGGATCATAGATACCTCACCTACCGGAGCCGATGTTTTCACCCGATGTCAGTACCTTGTCAGAATGCCATGCCGCTTTACTTGTTAAACACCCTTTGGCCATACTTTGTCAGGTCTGTCAGCCACCTTTTCGGGGAGGACCAACCAGCCGTTGCCACGTGTCCAAGCTGAGTGTTAAATCAGCCGGCAGTGAGTAGAACCTATCATTTTGTATCATATCTTTGCCTTGAGAGAGAGAGAAGCTCTAGAAGGAATAAGGAGTTTAGAGTGGAGGAGTGGATCTTCGAGCTTGATTCTTAGAGATCTAACCGTTAGATTCATGTATTAAGGTTAGATTCTTGACCTACCCTTGTTGTTCATGCTAATCATCTAGCTGCATTGCATGATCGAACCTGATTTGCAAGCCATGCATTGATTGAAAGTTGGTTTTAGAAAGAGAAAGTAGTATTCATGTGTTCTTGAATAAAAGCCTTGTTTGATCCGAAAGTTTTCATTAAGATTCATGCTTTTGTGTTTGTTTTCATAAGATCTTCGAGTATGGGTGTCTAGGTCCATGTTTTTAAATTCATAGCATGAAGTTCTAGATTTCGTAGTGACAAGTTAAGATTGAGCATTCATGTGTTTCATGTTCTCCATGTTCTTCAGCAGAGGGAAACCCAGATTTTCTCGACTTCATTTCCTTGAGCGGGGCCACCGGGACCACACCTCGGCAAGAAGGTGTGGGACCTCGGCAATAGCCTGGTTAGTACCCAGCATGTTTTTCCCGAGAGGAGAAACAGTGTTTTGTCTTGGTTCGACTTAGTTTTGAAGGAATGTCGAGATCATTTGCATCCATGTAAAGCTTGTTTGAAAGTGCATTCAATAGACTTTGCTATGTGTTTGTAGGACTTGGACTCTCGCTTGACCCCGACGTTGAAGAACTATGTGAGTGGTATTTTTGATAAAGCTACGTTATAAAGTTTTGATAAAGTTTTGCTTTGTTTTGAAAAGTATTTGCTAAGCATGAATGACTATCCTTATTTGTGTATCAAGTATTAACTTTGATCTTGAGAACCTTGAAAGTCCGTACGTGCTAGGGGACTATAAGCATTTGTAGCACAATTCTTGGAAGTCCGTACGTGCTAGGGGACAATAAGCATTTGTAGCACAATTCTTGGAAGTCCGTACGTGCTAGGGGACTATAAGCATTTGTAGCACAACCTTGAAAGTCCGTACGTATTAGGGGACTATAAGCATTTGTAGCACAATTCTTGGAAGTCCGTACGTGCTAGGGGACTATAAGCATTTGTAGCACAATCTTTGTTAATGTCACCCATGAAACTCGAAAGACTTTGATTGATGAAGCTCGATAGATTTGTTAGATGAACTCGATTTATCCCACGTTTGTCATAAGCTATGATTATGCATTGTTTTGTTAAAGATCTCGGATGTCATACATGCACACCCTTTATTACTTGTACCATTCATTGAGTATCCAAGCTCACCCTCTCTATATATATGTAGGTGACGAACAAGAAGGCGATGAGGCCTAGATGTGTTGCCGATATGTTTTCGGATGTGTTTGCCGACGTGTCTCGGATTCGTATTTTTTTTTTTTGTAACATCTTGAAGATCATGCTTCTTAGCTTATATTTCATTGCGTTTTGTATATGTCGGCTTGAGAAGCCTTTTGGTCAAGATGTATTTTTGTACTTCATTTGTTGTATTAAAGCTATGTAAAGATGTATGCCATTCCATTTAAACTTATGCACTGCTTTTATGGACTACTTAGCTTGAAATTTATTGCTTCCGCATTTGTAAGCCCCATATGTATACTCTGATTGTGTGTGAATTTTGAAAGTTGGCCTTCAGTAATCACGAATTACTGGCCATCACGGCACCATTTTACTAGGGGCGGAATGGGATCGTGACAGATTGGTGTCAGAGCACAAGTTTCTTATAGTACGTTACTCACACTTCGAGTCCTAAAGAGCGTTGGACTTTTCGTAGGATTGATGTTAGGATTGCATCATTATGCTTGCTACTTGACAATGTGTGCATCATTTCGACGTGACGATTTGCTATTGCATGCATATTGTTTGATCACCTTGTTTTAAAGTCACATTTTGCACACTCTTAGCATCATGAGAAAAGGTAGACCACCCATTGGCTGAGATCATCCCGAGGACAGATTGGATAGATTGGAGAGACTGGTCGAAGGTTTGGTCCGTGAGTTAAGGCAAACTCGGCCACAAGACGCTAGCACTACTTCTACCCAGGCCGAGCAGACAAATGGCCGGCATGCAGTTCCACCTCCACCTCCTCTAGTGCCGCAAGTGCCTCCACAACAAGCTTTATATGGGGACGGCACCATAGCCTTGATCATAGAGTTCAAAAAGATGAAGCCGCCGAGGTTCTCTGGGGGAATTGAACCGATGAAGGCCGAAGCGTGGGTCTTGGAAATGGAGAAGCTGTTCGATATTTTTCCCAGCACCGACGTCCAGAAAGTGTCATTAGCAACATTCACCTTAGACGACGATGCACGAAGATGGTGGATGATGACCCGAGAAAGCAACCCAGGTCTGACTTGGGCCAGATTTTTGGAGCTGTTCTACAATAAGAATTTTCCCCTTAGTGTCCGAGATCGTAAGACCACGGAATTTCAGACTCTGACACAAGGTAACAAGACAGTCGCAGAATACGACCGCGCTTTTACCGAGTTGGCGAGATATGCGCCTCACATGGTCGATGATGAATACAGAAAGGCTAGAAAGTTCGAAAGTGGACTGCGCGGACCAATTCAGGATCGAGTTAACATGCTCAACATGCTGACTTACGCCGGAGTGTTGGACAAGGCCATCCTTGCAGAAGCTAACCTGAAGTGGTATCAGAATTCAGGAGAGAACCAGAGGAAGAGGCAGAACAATGATAGCCGTCAAGTTCCGTTTAGCGCCAAGAAAAAGGCGAATGTGGGCAGCTCTAACAACTCGAACCAGGAAAGTAGCGCTAAGCCGACGTGTGCAAGTTGTGGGAAGCCACATTCTGGAGTTTGCCGTTGGGCATCAGGAGCCTGTTTTGAATGTGGTGAAATGGGTCATCGCGTGAAAGACTGTCCGAAGACAAGAACCCATCCTCTCCTATCTCCTAACTCAATTATTGATTATGCAAAATTTATAATCGAAGCAACTGAGATTTTTTTTTTGTTTTCTTGTTTGGGTAAACAACAAATACATCCTTGAGGTTTGATTAAAATATAAATCACCCCCTGTGATTTTGAAAATTACATTCTACTCCCTGAAGTTTCTAATTTCATAAAAAATCATCCTTTTATTAATAAATCATCAAGTCAATTAACAGTTTTTAATGATATTAAAAATATGTTTCAATTAATTATTTAGGTAATTTTATTATTGTAGCAATTATGAATTTCGTTTTTTAAATTAATTATGTTAAATAAAAAATACTAACAATGAGGTATTTGTAATTTTTCAAATCACAGGAGACAATCTGTATTTTAAGCAAATCTTAAGAGATGTCTTTATAATTAATTGGGTAGATTACCAGTAAGTCCTCATAGTTGAACTTAATTTTCCTTAAGTTCTATCAATTTGTCACTGAAAGTTGGTCCTAGCAAAAACGTCACTAAAAAAAAAGTGTAACGATTTTTTGAATAATGTTGTTGAAAACTAACATTTAGTAACGTTTTTCTGTGACGAATTTTTTAAATTATCGCTGAAAACTGACAATTAGTGCCAGTTGTCAAGGAATTCCCCGACGTCTTTCCAAATGACTTGCCTGGCTGCTTTGTCGATAGAGAAATAGAATTTACGGTTGATATTACGCCGGGAACCCAACCTAACTCCAAAACACCCTACAGAATGGCCCTAGCCGAACTTAAATAACTGAAGCTGTAATTACAAGAATTGTTGGGTAAGGGATTTATTAGACCGAGTACTTCACCATGGGGCGCACCCGTTCTATTTGTTAAGAAAAAGGATGGCACACTTCGTCTTTGTATCGACTACCGAGAACTGAACAAGGTAACCATTAAGCACAAGTATCCGTTGCCGAGGATCGATGATTTGCTTGACCAACTACAAGGGGCACGAGTCTTTTCTAAGATTGACCTCAGGTCGGGCTACCACCAGCTGAAGGTTAAGGCCGAGGATGTCGAGAAGACTGCTTTCCGGACAAGGTATGGCCATTATGAATTTTTGGTAATGCCTTTCGGAGTGACCAATGCTCCTGCAGCATTCATGGATTTAATGAATAGGGTCTTCAAGCCGTACCTAGACGAGTTCGTGGTTGTTTTCATCGACGACATCTTGATCTGTTCCAAGGATGAAGTTGAGCATGAGAAGCACTTGGGGCTAGCCTTACAAGTCCTAAGAGACAAGAAATTCTATGCCAAGCTTAGCAAGTGTGAATTTTGGCTCTCCAGTATCTCGTTCTTAGGGCATGTGATTAACGAAGAAGGTATTTCAGTCGATCCAAGTAAGATTGAAGCCGTTGTGAATTGGCCGACACCGACTAATGTATCCGAGATTCGTAGTTTTCTG